TTGCTTAACTTTTTATGATTCTTTGAATTTTAAGTATTTATTTCAATTTCAAAATCTACTAAAATATAATTGTTGTCACCCTTGCCTTCTTCTACTGTAAAGTTGTATTCTTTTCCTACTTCTAGTCAATTTCATCTTTCCTTATTTACTTCACCACCAGAAAAAACAAAAATAGTTTTTTCGTCGTTTAACCTGAGAATTAGATAATCATCACCTTTTTTATCCTTTTTCTCTAATTTTTGTCGAATGGTTTCTTTAATTATTTGATTATTATTATTCATTATTAATTTATTTTAGGAATTATTAGTTATTTTTTTTTCCACTTCATAGTCAATTGATTTTTGGCAGATTTCCTCTAAACCCCCTTCCATAATACTATCAAGATGGTGTAATTTTATTTTTAGACGCTTGTCAGTTATTCGGTCGTCCGGAAAGTTATAAGTGCGAAAGTTTTCTGAGCGCTCGGCGGTGCCAATCATAGAAGAACGCAAATTGCCTACTTTTTTCTCTTCTTCGGTTTGCAATTTTTCTCACAAACGACTTTTCAGAACTGCTAAAGCCTTTCTTTTATTGTCATGTTGACTTCGGCCGTCTTGAGAAGTTGCCGTAATAATTTCAGTTTTGCCATTAGCAGAATAATTATAAGTTACTTTCACTGCCGAGTCAGTAGTATTAACGTGCTGACCACCAGCTCCGCTAGCACGACAAGTTTCATATTTCAAATCCGATTCCTGAATATTGAGCACTATATCTTGGGGTTCTGGTAAAACTACCACCGTGGCAGTAGAAGTATGTCTTTCTCCTCCTTTTGCAGTGACTGGAACTCTTTGGACACGGTGTACCCCGGCTTCATTTTTTAAATACTTGAAAACTCCTTCCCCTTTGATTAAAAAAGAAACAAACGAAAAGTTACCCTTGTAGCCCACCTTACTTTCTACCATTTCTATTTTTCATCTTTTTTTCTTGGCAAAATTTTCATACATACGATATAAATCGTTCACAAATAAACCGGCCTCATCCCCTCCTGGACCTGGACGGATTTCCATTAAAACATTTTGAGTGTTTTCTTCTTCTCCGATTATCTGTTCTTTAATTTTATTAATTAATTCAGTTTTTTTTTCTTCGAGATTTTTAATTTCTACCAAAAGAAAATTTTGCTCCTCTTTATCTACTTCTTGGCTTAACTCCTGATAATCTTTTTGTTCTTGGTTTAGTTTTTCGTATTCGCTTTTGCTAGTTAGCAAGAGACTTTTTTTTTTACTGTCTATCGGAGGAGAAATTTCATTTTTTTCTAACCTTTTTAAATAGTCAATAATTTTAGTTTCTAGTTCTTTATTCACAAAATACTCTATAAACTATTTTTTCTCTTTCTGCCAATCCTTTTCATTCTCCATGCTATTATTAACATTGATAGTAGTAATATTCCAATCAAGAATAAAGGAACAATAACTCCCCAAGGCATAGCAGCAGGAGAGGAAGTATTATTGCCCTGATCATTTTGATTAGAATAACTTTCTAACTTATTTAGTAGGGCTTGGACTTTTTGGTGTTGGGATGAGTAGTAAACATTACTTTTAGCCAAGAACTCAATTAGTTTTTGTTTAATTTTAGTAATATTCTCTTTTTTTATCTTTTTACCAGTTGATAAAACTTGGTTAACTTCTAAAGTTAAAGCTTGAATTTCTTTTTCTACTTTAGTTTGTCAAACTTTTTGCCGGATTTCAGTTTCGGCTGCTACTATTTTAGTGGGATCTTTAATCTCTCCATTTTTTAAACTGGTGAGGAGAGTTTTAGTTTTATTATTGTTATTTTCACCACTTAAGTCTGCTTCACTAATTCCCTCTTCTTTCATTTTTTCAGTGATTTTATTAGCCGCATTTTGACTATATTCAGTAGGGTTTTGAGTGGCTTGCTCGGTTTTGGCTTGGTTAATGGTCTCTTTACTTTCTTCGTAAGCACTTTCGCCCTCGTTTTTTTCTAAATTATTTAAAGCCTCTTCTTTTTCTCGAGGAGTAGCCTCAGGATTTTGAAATTGATTCAAATTTTCTTTTACTTCTTGTTCGGTTTTTTTGTCTTTCTTACGAGCTTGGATTTCGGTTAATACTTTGCTTTCTCAGTCAATGATTTGGTCTAGTTTAGTTAATCCGTTTATCTTATTTTCTCAGTTTTGATATTCTGAAGATAAATCCGAGTTGTTAAGTTGAGGTTCTTGGTTTAAAGCAGTAGTGATTTTAGTGATTGAATTAGTTTTTTGGTTTTTTAAGACTTCTTTTTCTTGGCGGACTTTTTGTTCGGCTTCTTTTTTGACTTGTTCTTCTTTATCTTTTTGCTTTTTTTGCTGTTCTTTTTTTAAGCATTCTTGTTTGGCGGCTTCTTCAGCGGCTTTTTTATTACTTTCTTTTTCGGCTTCAATGGCTTGATTTTTGGCAGAGACTCATTCAATATCCTTATCTAAGTATTCTTTTTGGTAGTTTTCAATTTCTTTTCTATTTTTTAAAGAGAGTAAGTGATTTTGTCAACCTGAGCGGGTGGTGTTGAGTTGTTCTTCGGTTATTCCTTCTTTTTGGGCTTTTTGAATGATTTGTTTAATGATTTGGGTTTTGTAGTTGTTGAATTTGTTAATTATTCTTTGTAAAAGGTTAATTTGGCTGTCTTTGAAGTCGTTTATTCGGTCTGGTCTTCATAGACATTTGTTGATGTGGGTTTGGTAGTATTTAGTTCAGCGTTCAGGAACCATTTCTTCAGGAGTGCTACAATAAAGGCAGTCAGAAGGTCGAGCATCTACATAACCTTCTCCTAAAAAACCCCTAGCATCAGCCAAAGCGGTGGAGTCAAGGTTGCCTTTTCGGATAGTTTCTTCGATTTGGTGAATGGCTCAAATGCAGGCGGATCTGGTCTCTCTAACTTTTTCTTGATATTTGCCTACCTCAAGCAAGTGGTCGGACATTTTATTAGTGGGACGTTGGGTAAAAATGACTGTATAAGGAATATCCAAAACCCCATTTTCATTTTTGCCTTTGTACTTCAAAGTAACTTTGTTTATTTTCATTCAAAGTCTATAATTACACTTTTCATAGGAACCATTTGTAAAAAATTCATCATTTACTCAAATACTAGGAGAAAAAATAAAATCAATGAATTTTGGTCTAGAACCTTTACCAATTATTTTCTGTAATTCACTACTTAATTCATCTGAAATTATGCGACATTTTCTTCTGCTGTCATTTATTTCTACTAGTTCTAAATCACCAAAAGAGAGAAAAAAATCATCAGAATTTTGGTTAATTTCTTCTAACTGCCTTTTAAATTCTTGATTTTCTCCTTTGAACATAATTTTATTAAGTTATTTTAGGTTATTGCTTTTCATCTTTAGTTCTTATTAAAACTTCAATTTTAAGTTGTTTTCAAGATTCTACTCCTATTTCTCTTTCAATTAATGCTTCTATTATTTTTGATTCTAGTTGCGGGTTATTTAGTTGTCCTTTTTCTCTTTCCAATTTCTCTAAATTTTTTTGAATTTCTTCTTTATCTAATTTTTCCTCCTTTAAGTTTTTTTCCAATTCTGCTATTTTCCCTTGAAGTTGCTCTTTTCTTTTTCTTCTTTCGAGTAATCACTCCTCTTTCCAAATTTCCTTGTCTCTTTCTAAATTTGTAATAGTTTGCTCTTTTTTTTGATTATCTGCAATTAATTCTTCTCTTTCAGTTAGCCATCTTGCTAATTCCTTTTCTAAATTCTTTTCAGTGATGGGTCTTTCTAAAAGGATTTCTTTTTCATTTTCAAGGGTAGTCCCCCCAAAAGTAGGTTCTCTCTCCAATACTTCTTTTTTAATGTAAACCGGACAATTAATTTGTTGACCTTTAACTAATTCTAGTTTTTCCATTAACTCTCAAGAAATATCCAAAGTTAATCACTTTTTACCATTTTCATAAGCAAAGCCAAATCTTTCATAAACAGGCTCTTTTCAGTCTTCAGTAGAACACATATAATTTCGTCCTTTAGTTTCTAATTTCACAAAATCAGTTGGGATTGGCTGTCTAAACTTATTAAGCATTTTGTGTATTTGCTCTATTTTTAGTTCTTCTGGAATAATTTGTTGTTCCTCATAAACAGGAATATTGTTTTTGTTATTATTTGTCATATATTATAATTTTATTATTATATATATTTTTTAATGGTAACATAACTACCGGTTTTAATTCTGGTTCTACCTTATCTAAAAGTCCTCAAAAATTATTGAATGACTTAGCCGAAATTAAGAAAGTATCCAAGTCCGACCTTAAATCATTTTTAACTCAAGACCATACTTCCTTTTCAGTCCTATCAGTCTCAACTAAGCATATCGAATCCACCGACCGCATCTCAGTTACCTTATCCAAAAACTCCGCTCGTTCATTTTATTTAGGCAAAGAACTCAAACCAACTCAATCGCCACCAACTCCTAAAACTAAACCTGATGACTGTCTTCAAGATGCACAAAATTGTGTTTACTTCCAATTCTTTAACTCTAAGCAAAAAAAACTCTACACTAGATTTAAAGACAAAGTAGAAGCCAACTTTGAAGGTCAAGAATCTAATGGACCACTTCTTTTCTTAACTCTCACTTTTAACACCACCCATGACAATTACTCGGCTTTTACCACTAACTGAAATCCGGAAGATCCAGTTTGAGAGCCTATCGCTAAAAAAAACCACTGACTTAAAGACTGAGCCACTAACTTTGACCCTCAAGCCGAACTTTTAAAAGTCAAAATTAAAAAAGTAAGTCCAGAAGTCAGTCAACACCAATCCGCTAATTACTACTTAGCCCTTTTTTTGCGTCGCATTCGTCGCTTATGAAAACCTACTAAATGAAAATGAACGGTAGTTTCTGAACTCCAAAAAAACGGCATTTGACATTTTCACTTATTAAGCACTCCCATAGTCCCTTACTCACACAAGTGTACTTTGGATAAAAATTTCACTTCCTGCTGAAATTGCCGAGCCTACATTTCCGAACTTTGACCTTACGGAAGAGTAGAAAGTAGAAGTCCTGGACATAAAACTATCAGTTCTTACTTAGCCAAATATTTATCTAAGTCCTTCCACTTACGCTCCCTTTACGCAAAGCATGGTTTAAAAGATAATCATAAAACTTACCGCTTTTTTAAAAATCTTTACGAATACGAACAAAAAGTCGCTATTCTAAATGCCGGAAAAAAAATAGCTGCCGAGAATTTTCTCCCACTACCAAAAAATCAAAAAATTTTCCGGCACTACGATTACTCTACCGGTCAAACTTCTTACTACTACCGCACTAACGAAAAATTTTCCGGCACTGCCGCTAAACCTCTCCTCCTCAAAAAAAATTATCGTTTAGGCACTCGCTCTTTAAACCCTTTATCTTTACTCTCTTTAGCTGCTAAACATTCTAAAAAAGAACTTTATACTTTTAAAAAACCTAAACAGCAGTTAAGTCAAGACTTCCAAGAATTCTTAATTACTAGACTATTACTCTTATGTAAAAAAGCAGAATTTCTCCACACTCCTTTAGAGCAAGAACAAGTCCCCAAAGAAATTGCTCAATGTAACCAATCCATTTACGCTCACTTTCAAGTTAAACCAGTTCTCCACTTCTCTTTTTTACCTGAACAAGCCCTCACAGTTCGCCAATTCATAGATAAATTAGACACCTATGCCCAAGAATTCGACCTCGAAGAATCCCAAGACTTTAACTCTTACCCCATCACCCACAACCAAAAACACCAAATCACTCAACAGTTAAATGGACTTTGTGGTTGTGAAATCCGAGCTCGCAATCAATATTTAGATAACTGGAATATGAATTATTACTCAAAATTTTATCAAGGAAGAACACCAATATAAGTTAGAGACACTAACTGTAAGCAACTTCAGTCCATGTTTTTGCTTGCGGAAACACCTGAGCCTAATCAGGAGAGTTATAACAAGAGACTCTCGTTCTTCTTACTGTCGCTACACTGGTTAGGTGCTCCCGCCCATATTGGTTAGTAGCGACAGGTAATAAAAAATATCAAAAATCTTATGTTCATCACTTTTTTACTCACTTTATTTTTCGGAATTAGTTTAGGTCTCTTACTGACCACCTTACTTCTACTTTATCTTTTTAAAATCAAATGTCCTAAATGTAAGCAATTAAAACCGGTAAAAGAAATAATTTTGGTGCAACCAAAGACTAAAACTATTTCCGGTCAACCTTGTCTTAAATGCCAAACCCTTAAACCTCAAGTCAATATTTTTTAATATGTCCCAACAATTACAAATCAAAGCCCTCACCATTGAGCCGAAAGCCCATGGGTCGGGGACTGTTAACACTTGGACAAGTCATTTGCTCTAAAAAATAGCGAGCAGTTCCTACATGAATAGAATTTCCTATTAAAGCAAAACACTTGTTTCGAGAAAATGAGGTAGGGAACTGATATTCTCGACTTTGAGATTGATTAACTACTAGACTACTTTTCATAAGTTTTATATTTCTGAACTAATTCTTGTCATTTTTCTATAAAATCCTTGCTTTCATGCCTCAATTTTCAAGGCTCGGTTTCAAATTTAGCCTTTCAATATTCATAGGCGCATTTTTCGCAATTAAATCCTTTGGTATAAGTGGCAAATTCTCGAATTTCCTCCTTATTTTTTAAAATCATACTAGCCGGTTGTCGGCAAGTTTTACAAGTGTAATTAACTTCTTTCATAATTCTTTAATTCCTTCGGCAAAAAATAATGACCTTCTAAACCCTTAATATTGAAAATTAATATCTCTGAATGGAAAATCACTCCTTCAAAAATATTCTTGGGCAAAGTAATCCGGCTAGCAATTGGCGGATAAGTGCCATTCTCGAATTTCTCTAACCTTTTACTTTCTAAGGTTAGATTAGAACAAAAACCAACTGGGGCAAAAAGGACAATGGGAACTTCTTTACCAAAGAGTTCAATAATTTTGTCTAATCAGACCTCGGAACCTAATTTGCCCTTGTAGCCATTAAAAGGTGGGTTGCAGAGAATAAGAGTTATTTTCCACTTTACCAATAATTTTCAATCTTTCAACTCTGTAGTTAAAAAATCAAGAGTGTTTTTAACGATCTCATTTGGACTCAATCATTTTTTTAATCGCTTGTCTTTGTCATTTCCTCAAGTTACATAACCAGTTTTCTTTCAAGGTTTTAATAAACTTCCTTTTCCACAGCAAGGGTCAAATATTATTCCTCTTTTTTCCACTTTATCCCTCAATAACTCATAAATAAACTGACTTACTGCCGGAGGAGTTTGAATATTAGAGGCTTTGGGTTTTTGATGGTAATTATTTTTTTGGAGGTTATACATGATTAGTTAGTTGGAACATGGATTTAATTAATTAACTCCCTTTAATCCTATACAAAAAACATAAAAATTAGAAAACAATTTGGGCGGGAGTTGATGGAACCCAAATTAAACCAACTCAATAGCTTTTATTCTTCTAAAAGTTCCGGAGTTATCTTTATTAGTTAGTTCTTCAAAAGAGATAAGTGCTAATTGGTTAACTAACTGATGAGGGCTTTCTTTTAGAGTAGTTAAAGTTTTTTCTGGAAGACGATTACTAAAAGCATAGAAGTAATCAGGAGTGCCTTGGAGGGCTATTTTGTAGAAAGGATTAGTGTTTTTGTCTAATTTGGATTCGATATCGATGATAGTGGCTTTGATTTGTAATTCTTTCTTTTCTTGGGCATTCATAAGGTTAAATTTGGGTTAGTTGGGGTTTTCACAATCTACTATAATCAGCATAAACATACTCAAAATCATTCTGGATGTATTTTTCGGTAGTTTGGACACTGGAATGGCCTAAGAGTTGTTGGATGGTTAGAAGTTGTGCACCATTTCTATATAAAAGGGTGGCAAAGGAGCGTCTGAAAGTATGAGGAGTTATTCGCTTATTTATTCCAGCTTCTTTAGTTCTGGCATTTAATAATCATCTAATGTATTCAGCTTTAATGGGATGGCCTCTTTGGTTAGTAAATAAGTAATCAGAAGAAGCCAGGTTAAAGTGCTTAATCAAAAATTCTGGAAGTAAAACATAACGGACTTTATTGCCTTTGCCTAAGATTCTTAATTGCTTACTTTGTCAATCTTGATGGCGGATATTCACTAACTCATTAATTCTTAAACCAGAATAAAGGAGGAAGTCAAGAATTAGGTTATTTCTTTTATGGATTTGGGGATTTTTTTCTACTTGGGCTGACTTCAACTGCTCTAACTCGGTTTCGGTAATGGTAGCAAAAAACTTCCGTTGCATTTTAGGAATCAGTCCGGCAATTCTTTCTCATTCTACTTGTAATTTCTTAAATTTGATATAAGAGTTCAAGGCTCACTGCTTAACTTTTAAACTGCTCGCTTCGTATTTTTTTAGGTTAGTGCGAAAATATTCTTTTAAATTTTGGGTGCTAAACTCTTGAGGGAATTTATCTAGAACATTTAAATATAGTTTAATTGTATTAGGTGATAAATTTTTTTCTTGTAAATATTCAGTATATTGGCTAATATTATGGTTATTCATAATAACTTTTGGCTGATTAGTCTTTTTAAGATTTCAATAAGAAGTGGTTCAGTTCATGATTTATAAAGTGGAGGTTGATTTTTGGCGAGAAGAGGGTTTTCTCTCTTGAGCGTTTTGGCATTTTTGGCAAAGTTTATTTAGAATTCTTTCAATACACTTGACTTGGTGACACTTTTGGCAGTGACGGTTTAGTCAGATTAGTAAGAAAAAGGCTAAAAAAATGTTTTCAGTGATTAAAATAGTTCAGGATAGCATAGTTTTTTAAATATTTTCTGAGTCTTCTTCGTGATATTCATCTACTAAGGAGCATAAGCCATCTTCGGTTAAAGGCTGACCAAATTCATCATACTTACCTTTTATTTTTTGGTCTTCTAAGAGTTTAAGAGAGGCTTTTAAATTTTCTACTAAGTCATCTAGGGTGTCCGAGTCTCAAGTTTCGGGGTCATGGGAGTTAATGACCCGAGCTTCATCAGTTTTGTCAAGCAGTTTTTTTAACTTTTCTAACTTATTTTCGATTTGGTTATGGAGTTTTTTACTTTTTGGCATATTATTTTTTCTTGGATAGGAATTTTTTTATTTCTTCGGTTTGTTCATCGATTTTTTTTCTTTTTTAATTCTTGGACTGTTTCTTGCACTGAGTTGCGAAATTTAGGACTAATTTTTTCAATGCTATCAAGGACTTTTCCTTCATAATGATGAGGCATACTTGTCATGACTAACTTAGACAAACTGACCAGTTCATTTAGAGTAAATTCGGGCAATCTTTGTTCTAATTCTTTTAAAAGTTGTTGATTGTTTAAGGTTCTAAAATTATTCATTATTTCTTATTCTGTTGGTTAATTTTCCTTAGTCATTCGGCTAAGTTTCGTTCTTTTTGCTGGTCTTTTGCTTGTTCCTGACTGACAAGATAAATTATCTGTCGTTCTTGACAATAAGCAATTAGTAAATCTTCTCATTTTTGGGAGCAATTATTTAAGCATTTAGTGGCTTGATTAGTCATTAGGTCTGTTCTAATTATTAGTAGTTGTCAAGTGGTAGAACAGCAAGAGCAATGGAATTTGAGTTTTTTTTCAAAAGTATTAAGTTTCTTAAAAATTTTGTCTTTCATGATTAGTAATTGATTCTTTTCAGTGGTGAAGGATAAAGCCTCTTTTTCTTTTTTTGGTGAAAAATAAATAACGCTTGTCGACATACTGGCCTTGTTCAATGACTTTAAATATCTGTTTGCTAACTAAGTTAGAATAAACAAAAAGAGTTAATTTTTGCTGGTCTTTTTCTTGAATGACAGTTATTTTAAATAAAAGATTACCATATCACTCGCTTTTTTTATCATAAACTTTTTTTGCTTCTTTGCTGACGATTCAGCCCGTGAATTCTTGGGGTTTAGTCATTTTATTTAGCCAAATATTTTGGGGCTGGTTTTTCTTGTTTAGGTAGGTAGCAAAGTTTACAACAGCGAAGAGGTTGACCTTTAAATTTAATTAGACCAGAGCCATCACATTCCGAACAAGGACTGTCTTTATTGAGATATCGACTGCCATTTAGTTCACATTTAGAGCAGTAGTCGTAATTTTTTGCTGGGGAACAAGTAAAGATGTCTAGGCAACCCGAACATTTTTTACGGATTCTTTTTTCAGAGAGGAGTTGATAAGAAGTAGCGGTAAAAGATTTGCGGACTGATTTTTCAGAATTAGAGTAATGACCGGTTAATTCGACTTCATCGGATTTTTTTAAATTAGGTTTAGTTAATTGGTCATTTTCTTTAGTCTTAAAAATTACTGGTAAATCAATCTTTTGTCTTTTTAACCTAATAAATGAATAATAATAAGGTTCTTGGGGTTCTTCACCTCTAAGTTGGATGGAAGAGGTAAGAGTGCCTTGGATTTTGATTAATTGCTTTTGAATGGAGGAAGCAAGTGGAACTCCTTTTTTTATTAAACTTTCTTTTACTATTGGTGTCATATGGATTTAGCATATAGACAAAAAGGAAATTTAGGTGCTAAAAAAAGTTCTGATTAGTAAAATAAACTTATATTATTAAGTAATATGACTAAAAGACTAAACAAACAGTATTCAGAAAAAGAAAGAGAGGAGCATGTAGTTAACTCATTAACATACAACTCAAAAAATAATTGTATTACAGTTAGGGAGTTAATACACTGTTCGGAATGTGGCAAAGATAATATTATTAGTCTAAACCTAAATGCTGAAAGTTTTAAAAATATCAATGAGGAAATAAAAAAAGAGGATTTAGATAAGATATTCAAAGCTTTGGCACATGTTTCCCCACCTAAAAATTGAAAATAAGACTAGGAGGAAATAGTTAGTGTAAAATAGTATATTAATCCCATTATTTATATAGAAAAACATGAATCAAAAACTAACCATTACTGAAACCAAATATTTAAGAATTTTAGCCAGAAAGCATATTC